AGGGAGGGAGGAAGAAAAAGAAAGAAAGAAAGAAAGAAAGAAAGAAAGAAAGAAAGAAAGAAAGAAAGAAGCAGAGAAAGATGACAAGTCTTGCATGCCCCCCCCAAACCAGGAACTTCACTTCTCTACAATTTGTTTTCCATAACTCCTTATAGCTAAGATGTTTGGGACAACAATTCCAGAGAGAAAATACTTGAGATATGGGCCCCAGAAAATTGTGGGGAGGTGGAAAGTTTCTATATGGCGATTAAGAAAAAAAATAAAAAGTCAAGATCTAGTCAATGCTCCCAAACTTCATGATAGATCAGTATAGCATGGTTCCCTCACAGATATGCAAAGAGTTCCCTCACAGTGAAGGAACCCAGACCCAGAAAAGGTGGTGTATCACATGGGTCCCTGGGCCTCCAATCTCACTATCTGTGTCCCTAGAAAGTGTTCTTCAGAGACTCACCTCTGTGATATTGAGCTGTGACCAGTCCAGGAACCACAAAGAACACATCTCTAAACAAGTCCAGTAGAGTATCATGGATGTCCGTCAGGGAGTGCATGCCATGGAAGTATTCTTTAGCCACAACATGCAAATACTGGGTAGGGATATGCTGTTAAAAAAAAAATCATGACCATAGGAAATCCAAGCCAATAACAATAGGCAACATGTTAATTAAGCAGTAACCTGTACAGATAAAATTCTGAATAGTGTCTATACATTGCCTCCCTTAACACTCATACCAGTCTTCCATGGATTGGAAACTGGCAGAATCATGACTCACAAAACCATGTGTATACAAATCCCATTCTCTGAACCACAAAACATAAACATTAGTGGGACTCGGTGCAAAGCAAAACTGTGGTGTCCTGGATTCAAAAGTTAAGAATTTCCAGGTGGCAGTAGTGGAACATTAAGGCCAAGGGAAGTCCCTTGAGAACATGAAGGATTTTATGGCTAAAGGGCCACACATCCACAAGACCATGCCTGTGACAAGCTCTGCTTCAAGTGCATTGCTACTCTTTGGGGTCTTGGAACTTCTGTTTCTTCAGCTATTAAAAAAAAAAAAAAATGGGTTGTCCAAAAGATTACCTGAGAAGTGATGAGAAAAGCAGGCTGACCGGCACAGTACCCGCCTGCATCTTGTCGGCTCCTGAGATCCATTACCCATTACCAAGCACCTTAATACGGCGGTCAGTGCTTTTTTGGTCCAGCATCAGCCTGCCTTCTAATCTCTCTTTGACTTTGTCCCAGTCGCTAGTGGCAGACTGAGGAAGTAAACTTCCTGAGGATTCAAGGGTCTGCCACAATGGTGATTGTTTTAAAAGGTCTGATGGTCTAGGGAATACTGGAAAATTTGTTGTATTTAAGCCTTTAATTTGGAGACACAGTCCTTGGTAGGATTCTATGAAATTTGGAGGAAAGGCTGCACAAACTATATCTGAGAATGCTGCTCAGACTCACTTGGTAGGTGCTCAGAAGGCTGAGCGTTCAGGTGTTTTAGTCAGACCCAAAGCAAGAGAAGACTCTGCAGTAGGTACAGGCTGTGGTGCAAGGGCCCATCCACTTGGACCATAGGACCAGCAGACCTCACAACGCTGAAAGTGTCCAAAGTGGGTAGAGAGGTTGCATGGGGGTGTTATTGGCAAGCACCAGAAGACAGCCACGAGGCAGACCCTAGGATTCTGAAGCAAAGTCAGAGAACTACTCACCGTTTGTGAATCAGCTCTTCCACACTTCTAAACCTCAAAGATACCACATGCTCTTCCTTTGCTCTTGTGCGTTCCTAGATGAACTACTTCCACCCTGAGATTTGGCTCAAGCTACCTTCCATGTTTGAAATGCCCTTCTTCTCCAGTGTCCCTTCCTCCTGTGAACCAAACCGGTGGCAATCTCCTCCAAGAGATAGTTACAGTTCAGTCAGAGGGATGCTACTATACAGCTCATATTTGAATATCCCTCAAACTTTAGACTTAGTTCACTTCATTGGACAGTCAAGACTCAACAAACAACCCTCTGCTGAGTCTTAAGGGCTAAAGAATCGCCTGACACGGGCCACTGTACAGTCAGAGGGCACTTTGAAAATGGAAGTGCGATCACTTCCCTTTCTCTGTTCTCAGCCATTTGATGAATTTTGCACTTTTTTGTAGGTTAAAACAGTTACATGGGCCCCTCAGCTACTCTCTACATTCTCCAACTCCCAGTCTGTCCTCTTAGTTCTTCCCAGCCTCCCCTGACTCCTGACTCTCCAAAATTCTCCCCAAAGGGAGCTACCTGTGGCTTCACCCATGGGTACCATAGACCTTAGGCCTCCATCTGGTCTGGTTCATATGTGTGGTTATGGTCATATCTGCCCACGACTCATTGTCTAGGGAAGTACTGGAGCATGTTGGTCTCAGTAGAAATTTGTTTGATGGATGAATAACAGTAAAGAACTTGGCAATGAGTGCACACTAAATAAATGTTTATGGAAAGAAAGAAGATAAAAGGAAAGAAAAAAAGTTCTTTTCCTATCTTGGTATTTAGAGAAAGAAGATGCTGTTCTTTGTGTATGCTGAATGAGCGCATGACTAAGGAATGAATAGATGAGTAAGTGATGGAGTAGTAAATGGATAGGGGAGTAAAGGACTGCCAGTGTAGAAACTTAGCACCGTGTCTACGGGCTGCGTAGTAAATATATAAAATTCTAATCCCCTTTGTATTTCAGAATTCATTACTTTTCAAATTATGGTTATATAATTCATTATGGATGCTGGTATGTGACATGCTGGAGGAGAGAAAGAACCGCAACATTCATATCGATGCATCCCAGAGACACGTGAATGATGGAATAGATACAGGTGCATGGAAATGAAAAGGCCTGCTGGCCACAGAGCATTTGTCAGATGTGGCTGAAATGAGGATGACCAAAAGTCTTTGGGATTTTAGAGCTCTTTGGACTCAAGAATTGTGAATAATGTACGAACTCAGGGATGGATGCTGGAGTTCGTACATTCCATAGTAATGAATTGATCAACAAATTAATTAAATAGATTTTTATAGGCTGTTGGTTTGCAACCCATTATTCACAATTCTTGATGTGGCTGAATCTCTGGAGAGCCATACCACCCACCCTCACTTACCAATAAAATATGTATCAAGTTAAGAGCAACAGACTCATTGGAGCCGAGGAGGATCTCAGGAGTGTCCATCTGTGGAGAGAAACGAGATATTCTCTGTGAGCCATCTGGGCATGAGAAAACAAAAGTCTCTCTAGGGCAGGGCACCAGACTTTTCCAGGACACGGTGGAAAACCAGAAGTCCTTTCAGGCCCAGGTGGCCATGTGCAGTGGTAGCCTTATTGAGTTAACCAGGCAATGAATGGCCCCTTCTGACATCATATCAAAGACAGCCATTCCCTGTCACCTCTGTGTCCTTGTAGGGTCCAAGTGGCTACTGGTTATTGGTTAGATCAAGTCACATATGAAGTGCTGAACCCCAGCACATAGAACATAGCTGTATTTGGATATGAGGGTCTTTAAGCCAGTGATTATGCTTCAGTGAGGCCATTAGGGGCATCCTGATAAGAAATTCAGACACACAAAGGCACTAGGAATTCTGCACAAGAATATGCCACACAGGTTTCTAAACTAAGAAGGTGCATTTCCACTATTTAAGACATCAAGACTTATTTTGTAATACAGCCTAAGCTCACTTCAACTACAATCAGACTTTGATATCTGGTTCGCAGAGAAGCCAGTGGCTTGTTATTCTCCTTTTAAAGAACTTTTCAGTTGGGACTTCTAAGTAGCCAGCAGTAGGGAGCAGTTGGGAGTGGAGGCTAGGAACACCAGCTCAGTGGAGCCAGGAGAGTGGGGACTACTGTGATGTTAGCAAATGACTTAACTCTTCGTGCCTCAAGATTCCTCACCCATAAGATGAAAACAGCAAAGTCCCCCACAAGGCAGCAGTGATGGCAAGGTAGATTGTTGATATTTGTAAAGACCTCACAGTAGGGCCACATAATTCATTTTCTAGCAATATTACAGTTTTAAAATATGAGGGATAGACCCACTATCCATTGGTCAAATGAATTTCCTTGAAAATCATGGGGGATGAACCCTCTCCCAGAGTCATTCAACTTACCTATAGACAAATTTTAAGTAGAATTTCCTTCTATAGTAAAGAATTGGATTTGTTTTAGGTCTCCAATAATTGGAAGTGGATTTAACTGCAACCAGCTCCCATGCATTCCCGAGTAGTGCATATCTGAGTACCAATTCTCATTCCATCCCTGGCATTATTCCAAGAGCTAGCATTTACTGAGCACTTACAATATGCCAAGCTGTTTGATGTGTGCCCAGCATTGAGAAGCAGAGCCTAAATGCATAAAAATTACATAACACCGTTTCTTAACTAGCTAAGAGGCAGGAAACCCATGCTTTCCCTGCCGAGGGGCAATTTCTTTCACTGTGAAATAAGAGAAATGATGTCTGTTTGCAAGTTCTTGTTGAGGTGGTATGTGCTTGGCACATGGAAGGAGCTTGCAGACCGGTCACAGTGGTGATGATGGCTGCTATCCTCGGCAGCGCCCACCCTCTTCTTTCAAGCATAGACCCAGAAAGCAGTGAAAGACTTTACTTGGCCCGTAATCAATTGTTCCACTGCCTCATTTACAGTAAGAGGACAAAAATCAGCCCCCAAAATCAGTGCCAAAATATTGCTCAGAAGGTATTGGCAAAACATGCCTTAACAATCCAATGAATGTCTGGTTTTAAACACTAAACATTCTTATCATTTCTTATCAGGATAGAATAGTCTCACTGAAGCATAATCACTGGTTTAAAGACCCCCATGTCCAAATAGGGTTTACAGTAATTTGATAAGTTACCTTTTTTCTTGGTCACATTCCCTTCATTTTAAAATAAAGAGGTTGCTCTAGGTAAATGAGTTTTGACATTCTGAATTTGGTCTCTCCAAACTTCTAAGGACAGAACTTCTTAAACCACTGTGTCCAGAAGTCATCGCTCCTTCTGCATACCCAGGCCCATGTGGTGATCACGCCTCAGAGGACTCATCTTCACTGCCCTTTGATCCCCCGACTCGTGTCCTTCAGAGCTTTGTACATTCTATGAAAGCATCTTTTCACTCATGCATGTCCTCTGTCTGCCCCTGGAGAATGTGACCTCACAGGAAGCAGGAAACTGTGACCTGTCCACTACTGAAGGTTCATTCTTTATAAGTTTATGGAAATGCACCACATTTCATAATTCTGCAGCTTATACAGCATTATAAAGTGTTCTTGGAAATCAAAATGCCAAAACTGAGACTGAACATAAAATTTAAAGGAGGGAAGTTTTCCAAACCTATAGGAAGTAGTAACTGTATTCATTTAAAACAATCATTTGTGATTTTTTAGTAAAGACAAATGAATCCAACCCTTTTCTTTTCATACAGTTTCTTCTTTTGCTGTATGAGGAGAAAGACAGAAGCATTACTAATTCCCTAGGCCCCAGCTTTGCTTGCCTATGGTAGGAAATATTTGAGTGTGTCCACCAAAGCTTCATGTGATGGAAGTTTGGTTTCTGTTATAAATGTATTGTAAGGTGGTGAATCTTTAAGAGATGGAACCTAGGAGAAAGTAATTACATCATAAGAGCACCACCTTTTGAAATGATTAATGTAGTTCTCTGGGGACTCGGTTCTCAAGAGAGTGAGTTATAAAGCAAGACCACCCCTTCGTACTGGACCCCTTCTTCATGCAGTCCTCTCCTCTCTTTTCCTACGTCTCCACCACGTTGTAACATAGCCAGGAAAGCCATCTCAAAATTCTGGCACAATACAGTTTGATTTTCTATCACTAGACTCGTGAATCAAATTTATATTATAACAACCCAAAACAGAGTAAAACACCCTTTCAGACAGAGAGAAGAGTGTTGCTGTGTGCACAGTGATGAGCTCCAGCTCTCACAACACTGGGACTCATCTACAGAGACAAACAGTTGGCTTGCTTTTTGGGAGAGGCAGGGGGAAAATTCTTACCATGGGCAGCATGTAGCCACATTCTTGATTATTGACTCCGATGATAGAAGGAACAGCTTCAAATGTCTTTTGAGACAATAGTTCTAGAGGCTCATCGGGAAAGAAAAAACCATCAACCACTGGAGTAAATGACTTTGTTTCCTGCAATAAAGAGAAGAAAAATCATCAGCCACTTCTATTCACAAAATGTACTGTCCCCAAACCCTAGCTAAGCTAAGCCGATTCAGTTGAGCAGCAACTGAAATGCATTAGAAAAGGGAAAACAAAAAGCTATTGGCCCAGGTAAAGGGATCAGTCCCTGGCCATTCCTGCCATTTAGTTGGGCAAAAAGCCTTAACTTTTCCATCTGCTACATGAAAATAATAATAATATTTACCAAAGAAAAATAATGGCCTAACATAGGAGCTCCCTCAGTATTCACAGATAAGCAGCATCAACATCATTTGGAAATTCAGTAGATATGAAAATTTTTAGGCCTACTGTATATGAAACTCTGGGGGTGCAGCCTAGCAGGCTGCTGTCAGCAAGCCCTTCAGGTGAGCGAGGCATGCTCAAGTTTGAGAACCACTGGCCAAAATGGGGAAGGGAGGCGTGACCAGGATGATAGAGGTTGGTAAAAACGCTTTACATGGATGTCTTGGGTCTCACAAAGTACTGTGCCTTGGGTCTCAGAATGTAACTGGTTTTGGTCATGCTTTCCGGTTTTTAAATTTATTATTAGTATATGTGTATGATGGGAAATCGGGGATGTGCACATGCCATGGCACATGTGGAGGTCAAGCGATAACTTTGTGGAGTCGGTTTTCTCCTTTCATTTTTACGTGGGTTCCAGAAATTGAACTCAAGTTGTGAAGCTGATGAAGCAAGTGCCCTTTAGTCAGCGAGCCGTCTCTCTAGACCTGACCATGTTTTCTTTTTCTAGGTTCCCATTTGGGTGTTCGACAGCAGAAACAACACAAGAGAGTCATGATTATCCGCTTCATGGATCCTAGGAATGCAGATACTCAGTACATGCCAAATAGTTGCAAATGTTTGAGTCTGATATACAATGATCTTGATTATTCGAGGACTCACAAAGATTCTCAAGACTGGAAGGTGCATACAGTTCAATTAATCATCCAGTGATGGAAATTTGCCAAAGCTAGCCAGACTTTGAGTACTTATAGAGGTGGGCGTCTCTCTGCCTATTTCTTTAAAGACAACTGAAATTTTCTAATGTTTTTTGTTATATCAAGTAAAAATAACTTTCAAATACAACTTCCAGTTCTAGTCCTTGACTTTGGTTTCTGGGGTCATGTGGAGAAAGCATGGCCCTCTTCCTGGGGTGATGCTTTTAACATCTTAGCAACAAGCCATGTATCTCCTGGATCTTCTCCAGGTTAAGCAGGATCCCTATCCCATCAAGGTCTTTAAGTCACTTATAAAAATTCTAAACCCCATCATTTAGCTTTTGTCCTGAATCCCCAATCTCTCTCTTCCAAGTCTCCAATCAAAATAAATAAAATGGATAGAATTTTCAACCACTCCTAGGTTACCTTACCTCCAAATTTTCCCCTCCCTCCTCACCTGGCCAAGGCTCAGCAACTTCTTGGAGGACTTTTTCCTTAGGCACTTCAGCAGGGCCTGGAAGTCTGATGGATCACTACCACAGTCACTGGCAACCACCTGCAACTGTTTACAGAGAAGAGCACATAGATCATGGTACTGAACATATGCAGGGAAAAGAAAGACAGAAAGTGCCCTCTGACCAGCCCTGCATGGACCTTATATGTGAAACCCAGCCTGCTGACTGCCCCCCTGTAGCTCCACATTGCTACACTGAAGGTAGCTTTGCAGTATCCAGACTCTCTTTAGTGAATACCAGTGAATACCCCAGTGCTGGGGGTCATGAGTTGGAAAGACCAGTTCAGTGAGGTTATCTACATTGTAACTACATCCCAATCTTGGGGTGCTAAATGGAACTGGGAGCCTCAAGAGCAAGGGGCAGCTTTATAAGCTCCTGAAGCATCAATTGAGATATGACTTAGGATCAGTGTTCAGCTAATCCACTCTGTTCAATCCCCAACATAGCCAGGAATCTTTGGAGGTCTTCTCCCTATCTCTATATTAATCTCGATCATTTTTTTTCACTTCATAATTATAATTTTGAGTTTATTTCTATTTATCCTATTCTCTAGTTTAAGGCCCAAGTCCTGCCTCCTCTAAGATACACTTTCAGACTATTGCAGCCCCCGATAAGACCTGTCTTCTCCTGATCTCATATCACCCCAGTGTTCCCTACTAGGTCACTGCTAGACATCTTTTTGTCCTGTTACTGAGCTTTCCATACTTGCAGTACTTACACATTTATGGTTGTCCTTGAGCTTCTGGGTGTCATGAATGCTATGACTATTCAACAAAAGCTACATACCTGGAGAAATTCATAGCATATAGAGTCTGCATGCAACTGTGAGGCATTCAGGGACCACCTCCCACAACCATTCACAGAATCCAGGCAGAAATCCTCATACGAAAAGATCATAATCGTCCCTAGTTTATAATCTGCTTTCCCTACTGATAAAGCTATGAGTTCTAACACAGAAGCATGAATTGTGGACACTCAATAAATGCATTGTGAGTGAAGTAGAAACGTGCAAGCTGAAAATAACTTTATATTCAGTGCTACCAAAATTGGTGTCCCTCTGTACGGAGGATATTTTCACACTTTTATAACTATGAGAATGTTTTTGGTATATATGCTATTTTCTACATGGTGTTAAAATACCCAGTGAAGTGGTATACAACTGTAGTTTCATATACTCTAAAAGCTGAATCAAGAGGGTCCCTTCAGCCCAGGAATTTGAGACTAGCTAGGCAACATAGTGAGGCTCCCACATCAAAAACCAAAAGGGACTATAAACCTCTAAAATGATTAACGCCCAGGGGTTGACAAATATATGGAATATATTCCCTATCTCACCCATTAGCCACAGTATTATTCCCCACTGAGTGGAAATATCCTCAGAAACTTTCTCAGCAGAGCACTCTAGGGTAGCCTTTCCCCAAATGCACAGCATATAGAGTCTGCATGCAACTCTGGGGCATTCAGGGACCGCCTCCCACACCCATCCACAGAATCCAGGCAAAATGGAGTAGACACAGGAGATTAACTGTGTAAAAAATGAGAATAACCAAGACTCAGTTATGTTTCTATGCCAAATAATATTCTGAAAACAAAAATACCTTGAATAGTGTTGAGAACTGTACAGCGGAAGTTGTATCATGTAACTGATCTCTGTGATTAACATGCTAATTTATGCCGGCGAAATGTTTAGGAACTATGACACACATGCAGGCACTCAGGTACAGCGGTAGTGTTGCATTGTGTAGCTGGACCCACTTCCTGTTGAACAGGCCTTCCATATAGGACCAATGGGGCCAGCATGAGCGTCCTTGGGCATAGTCAGTAAAGAAAGCTAAGCATACGATGAGGCGGCAGTCCGTGGGCTTTCGGGGACCAAGGGGAGCTGTGAACAGTGTACTCACATCATGTTTCAGATCCTTATCAAGGCTCTTCAAGCTGGGGATGATTGCCACTCCACTCTGCATGATAGTTCTGTGGAATAAGCCCTTGCTCAACGGAGACAGAACCTAGAGAGAGAATGTTGGATATACAGTGGAGCTAATTCCAGAATCCCACCCACCACACATGACACCCATCCTTTCCTTAAAGACAACCTCCTAGGAAGCCTCCGTCAGGATCCTAGCTTAGCCAGGAGAGCCCTGGCTTAAGAGTTAAAGGACTAGAAATGAAGGTTTAGACAAGTTATTTAACCCCTGTAAATACCCATTTCTTTATCAAGTTTTTCTGTATTTAAGACAAGGTCTTAATATGCAGCCCAGGTTAACATCAGTCCTGCCTCAGCCTCCCAAGGACTAGTATTACAGACAGGTACGTCCATGGTCAGCTTCGTGAACTTTGTAGTCAGATACTCTGACATGATTTCTAGCTCCTTGACTTCCTAGTTAGATTGCGTTGGCAGGTTGCTTAATAGTTCTAAGTATCAGTTTACTCTCTCAACAATAGAGTAAAAATTGGGTCTGCGCCGGGCGTGGTAGCACACGCCTTTAATCCCAGCACTTGGGAGGCAGAGGCTGGCAGATTTCTATGAGTTCAAGGCCACCACCTGGTCTACATAGTGAGTTCCAGGACAGCTGGGGCTGCAGGGAGACCCTGTCTCAAAAAGATAAAAAAAAAAAAAATTGGGTCTGCATTATAGAATTGTTATAAGGAGTGGGAAATGTAATGAATAGGAAAGTATTCATTCAGTGCCTAGTCAAATTTCACTAATGAAGGATGACTATTCTCATATATGTAAGGTGGATTTATACAGTCATTCCTAGAAGATAATTTTGAAAATAAAAATACCTTGAACAGTGTTGAGTATAGTACAGCAGATCTCTTAACCCACTATTGTATAACTGAGCTCTGTGATTAACATGTTAATTTATGCCATGAAAATGCTGGCCAGTGAACTAGAACATCTCTATTCCCACCATTTTTGTCAAAAGTCACTTGTGTTGTCTCCAAACTTGTATAGCCAGCTGCACGTGTTATTGGAATTATGTAATCAAAGGAATATTACAAATCTAGGTTCTAGGCACATAAAAAGAGAATATAGGAATAATATGGTTCCCTCTGGTTTTCGTGACTAGCTAGGCATTGTTTCTCTCTTGTATCGTCTCCCGCCTCTATCATGGTTTTCCCACTTAAGGTGCCTGCACTCCCCCCCTTTCTTCCTTACTAATACCCTTGCTCCCATGATCCTACCTCTGTTGAACTGCTTCTTTCTCCTTATCCCCTAGGTTCCTCATATACCCTTCCATCCCCCCTCCCTTAGACTAACCCATTTTTTATCGATATCTCCCTTATTGAGCCCTGTTACCTACTATTCTTCTCCTTCAGGTTATTTCTTTTCCTTTACCTCACTGTTTCCTTACCCTTGTCCTGGTTCCTGCAGTTATGTCTGTTTGCATACTTATTTATCAGAGTCTGATCCTAGGATCCACATATGAGGGAGAACATATGTCAATTATATTT